AGCCCCTCCTGACAGTGCTGCCAGAAGCCAGGTCTGACCACCTCACTCCCTGCTCAGGACCCTTGGGGGCTCCCCCTAGGCCATGGGTGGAGGCCACACTCTTACCCCCCAGTGACCCGGCTCCAGCTGGTCACTCCCTGTGTCCCAATTTATACTCTAGCAACAAGGAACTCCTCGCCCAAAGGGGCTATTTTTGGCCTCTGTGCTCATGTCCCTTCTGCCTGAAATGCCCTTCTCCTCTGTCTGTCCGGCTAACTCCTGCTCATTCTGGAAGGCTCAGTTCCTCCTGGAAGCCCTCCCTGACCCCTGCCGGGTCTCCTCCTCAGGGCCTCACAGCATGCCTCCTCGGCATCATGGCCGCTCTACTGCCTTCACCTCGGGGATGTGTCTAGTCTAATGCAGGAGCGTGTCTTGTGATACGCTATGAAGTAATGATATAAGATGTCGTATTATGTGATAAACTGGAGTTCATGCTATGTCATTACCTCGTATTTTTAGCTGGTACGTTATACGATATATTATGTGATATGTAACCCCAGCACTACATTACATTATGTTATACGGTGTTTGTGTAGTGCCTGCTTCTCTAACCAGACTGGGGGCCCTTTCAATTTGCTGTCCCAGCTTCTGGCAAATAGTAGGCCCCCAAATAATGATACTACATTCCTTTAACTAAAATCCACATAGCGGGGGCTGAATATTCCTATGCTGATGGCCAAGACTCTAGGGAGGGGTAACCTAGGGGCTTCAGGACACAACCAGGGAAATGTCCTGGTGCTCCCTCAGGCCCCTGTTTGGGGAGTTTGTATCCTTGTTCTCTTGAATCAGTGAGGAAAGCTTTGCAATGCAGATCACAGAACCCCCTCAAGCAGCAGCTTAAACTAAGTAGGGGCTCCTGTTTCTCAGGACAGGTGAAGGGAAGTGGCTGCTCCTTGGGCTCCAGGGCTGCTTCTTATGGTCTAATCTGCTTCATGGCTGCATAGTAGCCGCCACAGCACTGAGAACTTCATCCTCCTGCTGCATACAAAGTCAGTACAGGGACTTTGCTGTTTGCTGGAAAGAACATTTCTCCTCATCAGTTCAGTCACCGTGCCCAGACATCCCCTACCTACTCTGGAAGAAGGGGTGCTCCCCCTGAAATTGAGAAAGACATAGGCTCTCTTGGCCAAGAGTGCAGCAAGCTTAAACAGCCATATGGCTCATCCCTGGATGATTGACCCTGATTTGTGACAGTGGTTCTCATCTCAGTGGGGCTAACCAGCATTACAACCTTAACCATAGTTCCAGAGCCCCACTTCCATAAGCTTGTTCACTCTTCACCATGCCTCTGCAAAGTGAGCACCAGTAGCTCCATTTTCAGCTGATAGCACTGAGATTAAAAGAACCTGAAGGACCAGGCCAGGTCACTAGTGACCTTGTACCTCTCTGCACTGTGCTTTATAGTTTGCAGAGCCCTCTTGTGTCTATTACTCACTTGACTTATATAGCAGCCTACATGCACATTTCTTACCATGGCAGCTAGATCGGGAGGCTGGGACCCAGAGGTGAAGCCACCCAGGTCATACAGCTGGGCAGGCCGGGCAGGGCGAGTTAGACTCCTCAGCTTCAGGACACAGGTGCTTCTGAATCTAGACCATCGATGTCCTCTGCTGCCCCCAGGGTGGGAGTGTGAACTGCAGATGGTGTCTGCCAGTACAAGGCCGTGGGGCTGAGAGATGTGGTTCTGAGTGGCAGCCCAGCCACTCATGAGCTTTGTGATCTCAGGCACTTGCCTTCTCTGAGCTCTGCTTCACCTAAAGCATGGAGGAAAGTGGCCATGGGTGAGCAGGCTTCAATGAAACAATGTCTGTGAATGGGCTTTGTCAGCTGGAAGGGGTTCCTGGGGCACCAGGAAGGTGGGCAGAGGGACCCCCAGCATCCCCTGCCTACCCAGTGATTTAGAAAATAGATACCAGACTGGGCTGCCCACCGAGGACTTGATGCCATTGCCAGGCAGAGGACGCCCCCTCTGCTGTCCTGTGTGTACACACACAGGTGTCCTAGAGTGCCTGTAGGCACCGTCCGTCAGGGTCACATGGGGCGGGGGCTCCTACATGGGTGGGTTGAGTTCCTGTGTAGGGGGTAGAAGATGCTGCTGAGGATCACCCACACACTCCGTGACACAATGATGCTCTCCTGCTACCGCATCCCCCCCTACCCACACACACAGGATGCAGGTGGACAGCCAGTGTGGTTATTTGCAAAGGTTGACCCACTTGGACCCACCGACCCCCTTCGCATACACACACAGTGATTCTTACTTGTTCAGTCTCTTTAGTCATATAAGCAGAAAAAGATGAAGAAACCATGAGGGCCCTGCATATTTATTTAAGAATAAATACTTTTGACTGTTTCCTATGTACCAGGCATTGTTCTAGGTGCAGGGTCACTGTGGAGAACAAGACAGAGGCCCCACCCAGTGGAGTGCAGAGCTCCAGAACACAAAGGTCATGCATAAAAAGCTCATAGGAGAGCCCTGGGAGGTGGGGGGCATTCTTCTGAGCCCCTTATTCTTAATCTGTGCACAGCTTTTATGAGCTTGACTCCCTGGTGCCTCTGATCAGAGCAGCTGAACAGAAAGAACCTATTGAAGTGGGAGACCAGCTCCTGAAGCAGGTGCTGGCGACAGCACCCGGAGTCACAGCCAGTGGCCCGATGGTGTGGGAAGAGACAGAGAAACAAAAAGAGCAATGCCAGAGATTCAGAAGAGCCAAGAGCCTTGTGTCATTTAGTGTTGGGGGAAGGGGCCCCAGAAGCCTTGAGGACCTGGGGAGTCTCCAGTGGCCCAATGTTTTTGGGCTTGACCTTGGGTTGTCAAGAGGAAGCTAAAGTACATCCAGTAACTAGTCTGACTAAAAATGCAGGGAAGTGCATCAATTATTGGGAAGGGACCTGTCCAAGCTGTTTGGCACAGAAAACACGAGGCTTCCTTTCTCTAAAGAAATCTGCTTTTGTGGAAGGGCTGGTTCTAGGATGTCAGCGTGGGGAGGGCAGGGCTTCTTGTCTGTTTTGCTCATTACAGGATCCCCAGGGCTTCAAAGGGAGCAGGGCATGGTCTAAACACTCAGTAGATATATGCCGAATGAGTGGAAGAATGGAAGCAGAGGGGAAGGAAGGATTTCCACTTGTCTTTCACAGCCTCTCGCAGGCGGCTCCTCTGTGCCCAGTACTGAGTGAGAGCTAATGGACAAACAGCAGGGAGCCCCCAGACACACAGACACACACGTGTGCTCTGACTTGTGGCTGCCCAATGCTGAGTACTTTGCATTGCCACCATTGTGTTCAAGCTGTAGATTACTGTTATTACCATTTTATAGGTGAAGAAACTGAGGCACAGAGAGGTTAAGTAACTTGCTCAAAGTCACACAGCTGGTAGACTGGGGAAACCAGGATTCAAACAGAGGCTGTGTGATGCCACAGCTGGCACATTCAACCCCGGAGCTGTATTACCTTCAAGTAGGTATTTTACCCATGCACGTGGGTAAAATACTCGTTTCTTTTCCTGTCTTGGCCTTTCCCTTGTACAGCTGGAAGCTACTTTTGTGATGTCACTGATGGACAGGGTGGCAGTGAGTAAAGAGCCTTGATCAGAGATGTCCCACCCTTGCCTGGATTCCCATAGTGCTTCCAGAATCTAGCTGAGCGGTCTAGGGATGGTGAGAAGGGGGAGGAGGTGTTTTTCTCACCTTAAAGCTGCATTTGCACAGTTTTTGTGGAAGTCACTTGATTTTGGGGGGCTGTCTGCAGACTTCATGACCTCCTGTTGTTTCCCTCACTGGTCCTGAAATATCCACAACTAGACTCCTTCCTGGAGGTCTCCTGGACAGGGAGTCTTTGCAAAGGCTTGCTGGCCAGCGCTTGAGCATGAAATGGCTTGTCTGCCTGGTGCCCCATCACTGGCTGCCTTCAGTTGCGGTAAGGACTGGGGAGGGGGGCACTGAGAGACGCAGAGGAGTGACAGGGAGCCATCCCCAACTGAGGAAGAAGCAGACCTGACAGGGACCTGTCGACACAATGGCTAGGTATGCATGTCTGCGTGTAGTGTGTGTGGGAGTGGGGAGTAGAGGGGAGCAGTGAGGGTCATGGATCAGGGCCCACCGAGAGGCGGGGCCTTCCTCACCTGGCCAGGCCACCTGTCTGGCCAGCTGTCTGCTCCCCTTGAGTCTGAGCACCTCCTCTGGCTGTGGGGCAAGGTCATGGGCTCCTTGAGCTCCTGGGGTCTGGAAGAGCAGTGTGTAGCCAAGTGGAATTGGCTGGACAGCATCACAGAATGGGAAGCAGATGGGAAGCTGCGGCAGCTGGGCCTCCGGCCCTCTCTCAGGCCAGCTCGACCCTCACATTGCCTTGTGCTCGGGGTGGGGGCCGAGAAAGACAGATAGGCTGACGGACAGGGAGAGAGAAACAAAGGAGAGGCCAAGAGAGAGTTGGCACAGAGATGTACAGGGGAAGCGTGGAGAGGGAAACTGAGAGATTGGCAGCCAGAGAGAGTGGCCTATAGCCCAAGAAGGCATCAGTGTGACGGGGACTGTGGGCTCCCCCTCTTGCAGGCTCAGTGGGCTCCTTACAGGCTCTGGCTCAGGGAGTGCCAGGCCTCCCACTGCCGGCCACCTTTCCCTTAGGCTCACGGGACAGAGACTGAGATTTTCTTAGAACCAAGGAAGGTGGCAGCTGAGTGGATGGCCTGGGGACCTGCCAGTCCAGCTTGCCAGTGGAGAAGTTGAGCTTTCCAGAAAGTGGTCATGGGGTCTGTCTTGCCCTCCTGCCTCCCAGCAGTGTGGCCCTAGGGAAGCCAAGGAACTGTGCCAGCCTCCCTCTCCTCATCTGCAAAATGGGAACAGCTGTGGCCACCTCCTAGGGAGTAAGAGCACATGCAAAGGAGTGTAGCATGGCACCTGGCATGAGGCCACCCTTGGTCAATAAATTGTAGCTCTAAGCACTAATTCACTCCCTTCTGTCCTTAGGCCTAGGAGGACAGGGGTGCTGAGGACGACGTGGCCCCTTCCTTCCCTCAGGAGCCGGTGGTGGAGGTGCTTGGGGTGAGCGAGGGGATGATGGCAATCATACCAACAATAATTCGTGGCGGGGGGGGGATGTAGGAGTTCGCATACAGTGCTTCAGGAATGCACAGAGAGGAGAAGCACACTTTTCTCAGCCTGCAGTGGAAGTGGGGGCTGAGCGGTTGACACTGGACTCTGGTTATCCCTGATTATCCCTGATTATCCCTGACTGGGGAACAGCAGGGACCCAGCCCCCAAACCCCACCTTCCCGGAGTATATGGTCCAGCAGGTGGGAGTAGTTCCCAATAGGACTTTGGGGCAGTGTGGGGTGTGTGGTCAGCGCTCTCTTGATGCTAGCTGAGCACACCTGGGACTCAGCTCTGCCTCTGGCATCTTAGCACAGGAGGGGACCCCAGGGTCACCTGCTCTCATCCTCACCATTGTCTGATACGGTGGTTCTTTTTTACTGGTAGGAAGGTTCTTCTGTTTATCATCAACTGGCTCAGGTTCTGATGGATCCACTGGCTTCAGTGAACGAAGGGCTTGGACTGCCAGAACCACTCTCGGGCTGAGGGGCTGGGGCACCCTGGGCAGACAGCTGTCCACACACTGTAACCTAGAGCCCCTGGCAATCTCTGCCACTCCAGTGAAGAACGAACACAGCAGGGACCGGGCAAGTCGGCAGTGCGTACCAGCATCAGTGGTTTCCAGCCTCACCCTGGAGTTACATTATCAGCTGCCCCAGGGCAGGGACTCTGACCCCTTGCTTGTCAAGAGGCCGGCACCCAGTAGGGACTCAGTACATCTCTGTTGAATAAATGAATTCTCCAATTCATGGTCCCTAGCAGGATTCTCCTGGCTCACCAGGGGCTCTGGCCCATAACTTTGCAACTCTTAGATGGCTGGGACCTCAGAGGGCCCTCCCAGCCCGGACACAGTGGGATCCTTGATTCACACCATGCTCCCGCCCTCAGAAAATAGCAGCCAACTCCAACTGCTCATAAATTTCCTGCCTGTCACCCCTGGCGCCCAGGCCAGGCGGGGCAGGAGGCACTGGGGGTGGGCTGGTCCATACCTGCTTCCAGTTCCCTGGGAAGTTGGGAGGCCAGAAGCCCAGGCCTGTGAATGTGCCCAGAATAACCTCAGCAGAGCCTGGCCTGCGGAGATGTGAAAGCACGTGTGCCAAGGCACAGGCATACTGGCCAGAGCATTAGAACACAAACACCAGCTTACGGTGTGGTTTGCACAACCTAATTCCACTTGCATAAAATTCTCTACTGGCGGCAAGGATACGTAAATCATAAACATTAAAAAAATAAGTAAATACCCAAACCAACAACAAATACTATATAGTTGTGTCTAAGCCTGAGAAAAGTAAAGGAACAAAAGTCAGCCCGTGTTACCAGGGGTTTGCCCTCAGTGGGGAGATTGAGGTGATTGAGATTCTTTTTCTTCTGTTCACTCTTCTGTATTTTCTAACCTTTCTATGATTAACAGGTACTACCTACCTAATTTTGTAAAACTTCACTGCTTTATCGAGATCACATCAGGTTCACCCACTGAAAGCGTACAACTGAATGGTTTTTAGTACTTTCACAGCTCTGTGCAGCCATCACTACAGTGAATTTTAGAACTTTCTTCCCAGGCCAAAAAGACACCCTGGATGCTTTAGCTATCACTTCATACCCCACAGTCTTCCCTGCCCCCGACCCCCAGGGAGCCACTAATCTGTGGGTTTCCTGGCTCTGGACATTCCGTGTGAATGGAATCCTAGAACACGTGGTGTTCAAGACTGGCTTCTTTTGCTTAGCATGCTACTTTCAGGGGCCATCCACATTCTAGCCTGTATTAGTACCTCCTTCCTTTATTAAGGCTAATATTCCATTGTATGGATCCACCACACTTTGGTTATCCATTCATGAGGTGAGGGACATGCCTTATGTAATTTTAAAAATGATGTCTTGTTTTTTTTTTAATCCATTGAAAGCAAATTGGTCAAGATTCATGTAGGAAAGGCGTTAGGGTTTGAAGCCAATAGCGAAGAAAGAATTCTTGAGACGTCTTTGGTGCAAAAAGGTGGTTTTATTAAAGCGCAGGGACAGGACCCATGGACAGAAAGAGCTGGACCAGGGTCGTGGGGAGTGGCCCATTATAGACTTTCAAGTTGGGAGAGGGTTATGGACAGCATAAGAGGTATTTTGGCAATAGGGTCTCCAGGATTTGAGGGAGCTAGCTATTATTAGGAAAAGGTCATTTATTACTGTTTAGTAAATCTTCAATTGTGACTCTTCAGTATATCATGGGTTATGTGCTTGGAGGGTGATTGCCAACATATATCTTGAGAAGTACAGATAAAGGAAGTTGCCAGAGAATTTCTAGATGTTCAAGTAGATTTATGGGATCTTGGTGGTCAGTCTAAGATTGCCTTCTGCCCTTAACAAAGTATTAACATCGAGGCAACTGAGTCCCTAGAGGAATGTCACTCTGCCTATTTCAAGAACTTGTCAATGGACTGTAGGGAGTAAAGATATTTAATAATTTCTCTTCTGCCTTTGTTTCCCACATCAAAAATGACAGACGGTTGGTTCAATGTGACTTTTTCTGATTACTTGAGACTCTTCAGCCTGTGATGCCATTTTATGTTTTCAAATACATGTTAATCACATAGAGGACCCAGTTTTTTGTGGGGACATGAGCCAGCACCTTCTAGTGCCTCTGGGGTGTGCCAGGCCCTGCAGGGGCATAGCTCCAAGGTCTTATTGATTCTTGGCAACTGGCCTGGAAGGTGGGTACCATTACTGTGTCCACTTTAAAGATGGGGAAATGGAGGCATGGAGCGATGAGCCCACCTGCCCAGGGCACCATGGCCTGCCGACTTTGGGGCCACTGTGAACCCCACTGTTCTGCATTTAGAACAAAATACCCCCTTCCCAGCCCATAGGTTGGTGTACTCAGAAGTGAAAGATAAAATAATACCTGTGGGTCTCACTGTGTCCTCCCTGCTTGTCTTTCATATTTTTGTTTTAAAATAACATTGGAGGGGATCCCTTGGTGGCTCAGCAGTTGAGCATCTGCCTTCGGCCCCAGGGCCTGATCCTGGAGTCCGGGAGTCAAGTCCCATGTCAGCTCCCTGCATGGAGCCTGCTTCTCCCTCTGCCTGTGTCTCTGCCTCTCTCTCTGTGTCTCTCTCTCGGTCTCTGTCTCTCTCTCTCTCTCTGTCTCTCAGGAATAAATAAATAAAATCCTAAAAAAAAAAAAAAAAACCCAAAAAACAGACCGTGTCCCTATCCTCGTGGAACTGGTGTTCTGACCCCATGTGACGTTCTGGCCACAAAGGAATGGACAGATAAAAAGATGATTTCTAAGTGTAATAAATTCAACCACCTTGCCATACTGACTAAATCACCTCCGTTGAACTTAGCACATCAGACCCAAAAGGGACTCGAGAGGCCATCTTGTCTAGTCATGTTCAAAGTTTATTTTTGCCGCAGAACCTGTGTAAAGGGTATCTTTTATGGTAAGGGGCTGGGATGTAGAGGCTCCTTAGGGCCGTCACCCAGGAGCCTTTCCCAGCTGTACCCAGAGCTTTGGCCCACAGAGGAAAAACCACCCGCAAAAGACCAGAGCTGGATGGAGTCTGAGAGGCCCTCTCAAGCTGTGCTTCTTACATGAGGTGACACAGGCTGTTGCCCCCGGTTCCATGAGAAGGGGACTGTAATATGGTTGTCACAGTGAAGAATATTTGCCAGCCCTCTTCTGTATTTGTAATTACCTGCCTGTAATTAACACACACACACACACACACACACACACACACACACACACACACACACCCTGCCCCTTCTGAAGGGGTATCCATGGGCTTGTCTCCTATCCCTTATGCATAACTGGTCTATGGAAGAAATCTGAGAGAGACTGCACCAACCTGCTGCCTCTACTGGGCATTTGGGTTGGGATGCTGAGAGACTGGGTCAGATGGTGAGGCAGGGAAGAAGCAGACACTTGAAGTTCAGGGAAGGGCCACAGATTGCCTCAAGGTGCACTTGTGATCACAGGATCAAATGAATTCAGAAAACAATGAGTAAATAAACCCAGGCAAATTTCTTTACTGCAGGACTTCTCAGAGCCTTTAATATGCTAACATATATAGTGACTTTCCAAGTTGGAGCCGAGGTCTATGGTATTTCCTAAACTCATGGGATCTACCTCACCCATCTGTGTTCTCCAGAGGGCCCTTTGGGGAGAGTACATGTGCATGTATAGTATTTGTACTTGCTGTAGAAGTGAAGGAATTAAAGCACAGAGAGGGAGCGTGAGTTCCCCAAGGTCACAAAGCTGGTTAATCACAGAGGAGGTCGTGGCACCTTAAGGCCTCCTCGTATTCTTCCCACCACACCCTATTTGACATAAGACTTTCTTGGATGGCTGGTGCCTGTGTTGGGATTCCTGTGCCGAGGTGGATGGTGGGAACACAGGTCCAGTGTAGACACCAGGGGAAGGGTGGGATCAGGCTTTGGCGAGAGGACACCCGTCTCATCTCCCTTGCTCTTGGTTGCTTTTGGGTGGTAGTCATGGCTTCCACAGGGTCAGAGAGCCAATAGAGGGCTTGGGACAAGGCCCCGGCGCCCCGACGTAGTGGCCAGTAGGACAGCTCGGGCCTCCTGCCGAGCCCGCTTTCTGCGCCTTCCCCCAGACCGCAGGCAGGCTGGACAGAAAGGGCCCGCCCAGGCAGCTAGCGCCCGGCTGACGCGGGCTGTAAATCACCCCTGGACCACAGACCCTGTGCCATCCCCTTGGGTTTCCTTCCCGCCTCTTAATCCTCCTCCTCAGACTCGGTAACAGAAAGCAGATTCCTGATTCCTGCCGGGCCAGCCGTGCACCGCATCGTGGGCTCAGAGGACGTGAGCCCGGACTCAGCACGTCGAGATGCTCCCGCCTCCTGCGTTCCTTCTTCCCTTCTCAGCCTCTCTTAGCTGGGGGACACCCCCTCTTCCTGGCCCAGCTCTCGCCTGCCCTCCTCGGGACCCCCTCCCAGCCTCACCCCGGCCTCAGCCCCTGGCTGCGGGCCAAGCCCAACGTCCCAGGCCTGCGAGGCTCACTGGGGCCTGCGGTTGGCAGGCCCTCCAGAACCGTGGTTTGGCTCCGGCCCGGCTTCCCCAGCCTCTGGTTCAGCAGGAGCAGCTTTTCTGTGGTCGAATAAACATTGTCGATCTGGATTCAGATCCTGCCGTGGCCAGCGTCTAGCGCTGCCCCTGAACCAGCGATAGCTCGCCTCTGCGATGGGGGGAGGCAAGAAAGCCCCCTGGTGTGGTGGAGGTGCCTGACAGATGTTTTGCTTCAAAAGCAAGTAATGTAGCTGTTTGTTCAGGGTCATTGCAAGAATCACAGGGAAGCAGTATGTGGAGCTGCTTTAGTAGGAGTGTGCTGTGCCGGGTTGAGGCGCCGCTGTTATTCTGGCATGTTCCTTCCCCAAAGCTCTGACCTCCCCTGAAAAAGTCCCAGCAGCCCCTGTGACCTCTACCTGTCTCCTGTCCCTTCCTGGTAGCAAGTCACACCCCACGGTCACTTTCCTCATGAGCAACACCAGGTCCAGTTGCCAGAGCGAAAATCCCAAAGGTCAGCTCTGCAAGCAAGGCAGTTAAAGATGGGCTGACCTAATGGTTCCCAAACTGTGTACCTTGACACCCTGGGTTCTCAGAGATGTCCCAGGCCTCACGTTGGAGGGAATGCACCCTGTGACCACCACCCCGCCCTCCAGCCGTGTCCTCCCTACCCTGCCTCTCTAAATACATGGGACCGTGTGTATCTGCTTTCTGTGTTAGTGGTCCACAGGTCAGACTTCATTTCTACTGCTTAAGAGAAAGTTTGAAAATTACTGACCTGTTCCAGCTGTGTCATTTTATAGATAAGAACACTGAGGCCCAGAGAAGTTATGGGACTTGTCTTAGGTCACCCAGCTGGCAGGTGGAGGGGCAGCACCTGGAGTTGGCCCCTTGACTCCTGGTATAGTGCTCTTGTCTGAACAGTGTTGGGGAAAGAAGCTGCAGATGGCCATTCCCATGGGGGGCAGGCCTGCCTCTGACATGCCTCAGAGGTGTGACCCGGAGGATTGTGTTATCAGCTCAGGTGTCCCTGAGCTCCCTCTAGCCCCAGCAACCCTGCCCATTTCCTCAAACCAACAAAATCAGCAGTGGCTCTGAAATGTAGAGTGAGGGGCACCTGAGTGGCTCAGTCAGTTAAGCATCTGCCTTCAGCTCAGGTCATGATCTCAGGGTCCTGGGATCGAGCCCCATATTGGGCTCCCTCCTCAGGGCAGAGTCTGTTTGAGATTCTCTATCTCTCTCTCCCTCTCCCTCTGCCCCTTCCCCATTCACACTTTCAAATAAATAAATAAAATCTTTAAAAAATAATAAAAATAAAATACAGAGTCAGGCGGAAGGGGCCAATGTGGGCTCTGGGGGCAGCCAGTCCTGGGTTCAGATACTGGCTTGTCACTGAGCCCATCAAGATGCAGTCCCCTACCTGGGTCACACAAGTCCCTCCTGGGGCAGCAGCTAGGAGTAAACGAGAGGAGGCGCTAAGGGTGCCAGCACCTGGGGCCAGTTGGCCTTTAGGAAATAGCAGGCAGGAGAGCATGGTTTCTTCTGATGGTTGGTTGTTTCTTTCAGGAGTGACTGGCCCCAGGCTAGACCAAGGATGCTGCTGCAGGCCCTCTCTGGTCAAGCCTGAGGAGAAGGTGAGCTCTCCAAATCCAGCCTTGTCTTCTTCTCCAAGATGCTGCCAGATGCTCAGACCACTGCCTCTCAGGGTGGGGCAGGGGCACACCTGCCCCCCTCTCACCCTCCTGTCCCCCCTCAGCCACTCTGGTGACTCCGCACTTTGCCCTCTGCCTCGTAGAGAGGGGAGAGCTAAGCCTCCCCCTTGCCCGGGGCTGCAGAAATTCATTGCCAAAGATTCCACAAAGACACTGAACAAATTGTGGTGATAAAACCCCACGGTGAAAAGCCACACCATGGCTCTATGACTTTCGCTCCTCCTATTGCCTGAGTTCCATCCCAAGCCAAAGACGTGTCAGCAATCCCACTGGAAACTCATGGAAGGGATGCACATTTGGTGACCATTGGAAGTGCTCAACCCTCTGACCTGGAACTCTCTTCCTACACCGGGCCCTGAGCTGGCTGGGTACAAGATAAGCCTTCGGGGGGTTATGATAGAGGGCTGGGGGTTCTTGTATGGAGTAGGATATGAGATCCTGGCCCTCTTCTTGCCCCACCCCCAATGGCTGCCCAGGCCTGTAACTCTGATTCTCAATGTTCCCTGGGTCCAGGCTCCCTAAGCCCTGAACATCATGACAAAGGAGTAAGAGGGGGAAGAAGCAATATTGACCACCCTGTACCCCACCCCAGGGGCTTGCCCCAGGGAGGTGACTTGCCTAAAGGGTCTGTGATCCCCAGCCAGCCCAGCCAGCTACTCCTTGCCTGTGGCCCACCCTCCTGGCTGGGAAAACAAGATGGTGCCCTGCATGAAGGCCAGTAGTCTGTTCCTGGTTATGTAGGGGGGCAGAGAGGGGGAAGGGACCAGGGGAATGGGCCAGTAAGTTGGGGAGGGCAGGGAGGCATGTTCAAAGCCAAGGCCTGTTCCTTCCTTGTGCTCAAAAGGCCAAAGCTGTTCACATCTGTGCTCAACCATCTGCTTCAAATTGAAGTAAAAGCCCCAACATATAAAGAAAACACTTGCTCGTGTTGAATGGATTCTGTGGGTGACCAGGACTTTGGCTGGTCAGTGGAGGGGCGGTTGTGGGGAAGGGGAGAGGCCAGTCTTGGCCTAGAGGTTGAGAACCCTTCAGGAGGTGGGCAGTGTATGAGTGCATGTTGTCTGTGTGTGTCGGGGGTAGGGGCCCCTCACCATGGCCTCAGTCTGGACTAGTAACCAGGAGGCCTGGTCTGAAACGTGGGGTCCTCTTTCTACATCACACCTCAATCTATTTGATGAGTTTATGAGGTGGGAACTGTAGTTTTAATTCCATTTTACAGGTGAAGAAACCAAGGCCCCAAGGAAATAGTGATGGAGCTGACCCTCCAGTCAGGGTGGTCTCACACCAAATCCTGTGCTTTTACCCCCTTTTCAGTCCCATAGTCCAGTCCTGGACCAAAGTCTTTGTATCGCCTTGTCACACCACTTCACCTCAGTGGGCCATTGGGGATGGGGAAGAGGTAATAGGATAAGAACGAGGACAGGACTGTCAGGGGCAGGGCTGGCCACAGAGAAGGGAGGTGATGAGGAAAGAAGCTGCACTCCCGCAGGATGCATATTAGTCACTTAATTCAGCTCAGGGATGCCCTGTCTTGTCTGCTCCTGAGGCTCCTGGGCTGGGGCCAGAATGTCTGCAGGCCCCGCCGGCAGATAGGAGCCTCCTCCCTTTGCACCAGTGTTTTCCAGGCACAGCCTTTTGCCAAGGACCAGGCTGTTGGGCTGACCTGGATCTGGGACAGGAGCAGGGGACACAGATGGCTCAGGGCACTGCTCAGAGCAAAGGTGCCTTGGAAGCCAAGCAAACAGAATGGGCTTGGAATGGGGGGATGGATAAGGAAGGTTGGTCACCTGGGGCGTCTGGGTGGCTCAGTGGGTTAAGTGGCCAGCGCTTGATTTCAGCTCAGGTCATGATCTCAGGACCTTGGGATCAAACCCCGAGTCAGGCCCTGTGTTCAGTAGGGAGTCTGCTTGAGGATTCTCTCTTTTTCTTTTCCTTTCTCCCTCTCCCTCTGCCCTTCCACCTGCTTGCACTCTTTCTTGAAACAAATCTAGAAAGGAAGGAGGGAGGGAGGGAGGGAGGGAAAGAAGGAAGGAAGGAAGGAAGGAAGGAAGGAAGGAAGGAAGGAAGGAAGGAAGGAAGGAAGGAAGGAAAGAAAGAAGGATTGGTCATCTAGAACTCAGGCACAGTCATAAGCCCCCCTCACTTGTCTCTCTGAATTTCTAAATAATGCTAGTGGCACTTCCTAGGGAAGCAGGACATGTGGACCAATCAGCATCAAAATTATTGACATAAGAGGACACTTTCTGTTACTATAAGGTGAGAAGGTACCCCCATCCTGCTGCCAGGGGACCAGATCCATGCCCCTACTACCCAGAAACAACCCATGGCCTCCACTGCCCACCCCTCTCTTGTTTTTGGACTTCACTATGTACTTTCCTCTCATTCTGAAGCATCTATTGATCATCAGCTGCTTATGAGACATTAAGCTAGGTGTTGGCAGTAGAGAGATGGGTCTCACATAGCACCTGTCTCCACAGAGGTCCTGGTTCTCTACAGACAAGCAAATAATTATGATAACAGTCCGATGTCTAAGATGTTTTTGGGAACTTCAGGAAAGAAAAACACTAACTCTCCATGGGCAGGTGTCTGGAAGAGCTTTCCTCCAAAGGACCCATAGGAAATGGGTCTTTAAAGGATGAGTTGAAGTTTTCTGTACAGAGGAATGGGAGAAGGAGTTTCTATGCATAGGACTACTTAGCCTGAAAGGACATTGGAATCACCTAAGGAGATTATTAAACATTGATATGAAGTATTTATGCCAAAGTCCCATCTCCAGAAATTCTGATGTATTGGTCTGGAGGGTTACCTGGGCTTTGGGATTTTTAAAAGCTCTGTAAGTGATCCAATGTGCTAGCAAGGTTGAGAGCTGCTGGTTTAAGTGAGCTCAGGTCTCAGGAAAAAAAAAAGCAACTTAGAATCACTGATATGGGATATAGACTGGGTCAAGAATGTGGATGGATGTGTGCTTTGTGTGTGTGTAGATGTGTGTGTGTGTATGCACACACAGATATTAATAGGAATGATTAAAAGTCCATGCTTTTCTTTCTTTTTTTTTCCAGCTTTCGCACTAGCACAGCAGCTTGTGTTTTTGCGCGCACACACAGAAACATACACTCCCTCTTGTGTACACATGCACACCCGTATATGTACTTGCATATATTCCCAGGGAAGGGAAATACGTTTGAGATCGATTCAAATTTTATCAACAGTCTTTTAGACAGTTCTATGTAAGCAACCATGCAAGAAGACCCTCGCCAAAATAAAAATTGTCAAGAGCCACTCTCTTCATGCCCCAGTCCCGCTGAGGGCTTGGTCACAGAGTCCCTGGACGTTTGTCTGTGGCACACCCTCCTGCTTTGTTTCCTCTGGCTCCTGGTCCCACATGCCTGTGATGGCTCATCAGTCGCCAGCCACAGAGCGCCCCAGGGTACCCGCGTGAGTGTGTACCTCTGTGTGTGTGCTGGTTTCCTGCAGCATGCGTGCTTCCTGCTCTCTGCAGGACAAACGCTACAAAGCTCCAGGACTCGGAGCTTCCAACTCCACCAAGCTTTACAAGACCCTCCAAACCCTGTGCACGTAGCTGCACTGCTTCCTGGTTCCAGCCTCAGACCATCCCAGAAGAGAGGCTTAAGTCCTTGGGAGGGCGGTCCACAAGTCCCAGGGCCCCCTTCTGGGCTCACAGCCTGGCCTGGGCCCCGGGTTGATTCCGTCTCACCACTCCGTTCCCCCTTCTGTCCCCATGGCCCACTGCTCTGGCCTGAGTCCTCCTCCCCTCCCTCCACCACCCGGAGTCCTCTAAAGCCCTCAGCTAATCCTATTTGTTCCCCCTCACCACACCCCCCCATCTCCCCTATCTCACCAGCCAGTGAGGAGGAGGGGCAGATCCCAGGGGTGGGGAACTGGGGAGCTGTGTGTGGGGACTGTGCTGGGAGCTGGAGCAACAGACAGAGCCCCTTGGTGCCCGCGATCCAGGGCGGCGATGTGGGCGCCACTAATTAGGCGGAGGCAAGTGAGGTGCGGGGGTCTGCCAAGGTAGGCCAGCTGGGGGCTGGACCGGGCACTGCACTTGCCTCCTCTTGCCGTGCTGCTTCCTGAGCCACAAAGTCATCACCGTCAGTGGCCCAGCGACAGTGCAAGACTTGGACATCTCCAAGTATTTCCTCGAAGAGGATCTGTACTGTCACTCTCACCCTGACCTCTTGCTGACCTCTCAACCCTCCTCAGGGGTCTGTTTCCAGGTTCCAGGAGGACAGGGAGGTATGGAGGGGGCCCTTGCCTGGGGAGCATGGGGGAGGGGGCGAGGGGAAGGGCAGCTGGCTTCCTCCTCCACTACCCATCCTGGTTTTCCCCTTGGCACCTGTCTCCCCTCTGAGATCCCTGGGCCCCAGACAAGCTCTGTCTGCCTTCCAGAAGCCATGCACCTCCAAGGAACTTGGATTTATACCGAACAACCTGGTTTCACAGATATTTGGGCACATGTTGAACCTCCAGATGGTGCTATGAATTCCTAGAGGGCCGAGATTGGGTCTAATTCATTTCCAAATCCTCGAAAAGGCCTTGCAAAATGTATATATTGGTTTCTCTGTTAAGTGAATAAAAAGTGGAAAATATGGTGATTCACGCATTTATTTTCTTCCCTCCACAAATAACTACCAAGCAACTAATTTGTTCAAGACCCCAAGAGAATGGGACACAGGCCTTTTCCAAAAACCTCAAAAGAGGCTCCAAGGGAGAAGGTCCAGAGCGGAGTGGGGCTCGGGCTTGGCAGCTTCTTGCTGTTTCTGCCGCTGAGCCTTTGGGAACTGGGCCCCTGGCAGAGGACCCCCGCGGGGCGCAGAGCAGGGCACCCTACCGACCGCCTGGATGCGTGAAGGCACATCCGTGGTGGCTCGGGGTGGGGGTGGGCTGGCCCGAGGCTGCCCCGAGGACGAGGACGGAGCTCCCTGCCGCGCTGCGGGCCCCCACACCCACTGTCGCCCATTGAAGGGGTGCTCCCTCTTTCGCTCCCCGGGGACGTTGCGGTGGGAACACCCTCAGGCCAGCCTCCAGGGAAGTTGTGACTCGGGCTAGGTCGCAGGCCGGCCGTCCCCGGTGCTCCTCGGGCGCGTGTGGCGCCCCTGGCGGGCCCCACGGTCCCTTGCGGGGCGGGGCGGGCGCCGGTCGAGACCCCTGTCCGAAGCCCCCCTGGGCGCCCCGGGCAGCCCCAAGGCCAGGCTGCCGCGCCGCCCCGCGGACCTGTCCCGAGCGCTCGTCCTCTCCTCCCGCGTCTCCAGGGTCTCCCCAGGCCCCGTGACCCCCCGCTTGGCTGCCCGGGGTGCTGGCCAAATCCCAGGCTCCTTTTCTCTGCTTGCCCACGAGAAAAAACATTCTTTCTGAACCCTCATGTTGGCTCAGGTTGTGGAAACAGTGGCTTTCCAATCGAACTTTCCTCTGCTTCGGTCCGCCCAGGCCCCTGGTTCCTGGAACACGAGTTCTCTCAGTCCCAGAACCTGGGCAGCCGGAGAGACCCTGCTTTACCCAACAGCGGCCCGGATGCTTGTCCTCCTCCCGTCCTAGGGGCTCCTCTCTCCTGTTTAGATACAAATAAGAACACCCCCACCTCCACCCCGTAGTCACAGAAGCCCAGCATCACCCTGGATCTCCAGGGTTCAAGGGGGTGGAGGAGTGTATTCCCATGGCTATGTCGGCCACGATCTCTTGGGTCCACTGAATTCATCATCTCCCCCAATTGCCTCCTATGGCTGACCCCGTCTCTCTAACCTGCTTCAGCTGAAGGGCACACAGCCACTTCTCCTCGATTTCCCCCAAACGTTGCTCACATAAGGCAGTTGTATGTAGAGGAATTATCTCTTTCTTGATGATTTTTCTTGAAAAAATGTTTACACTCACAAAACCAAACAAGACCTTGCCTTTTTCTT